CCGTGTTCTTTCATTTTTACTTCCCGAGCGTAAGCAAAGGAAGTATTGTAATCGAGTCCGTCGGCCGACTCTCTACTTTTACGTTTTCTCGATCTTTCATGACCCCTAGAAAACGTAGAAATAGGTCTCCTATTTCCGTCTGTCTGTCCGTCTGTCCGTCCGTCTGTCCGTCCGTCTGTCCGTCCGCCTGTCCGTCCGTCTGTCCGTCCGTCTGTCCGTCCGTCTGTCCGTCCGTCTGTCCGTCCGTCTGTCCGTCCGTCTGTCCGTCTGTCCGTCTGTCCGTCTGTCCGTCTGTCCGTCTGCCGTCCCGGATTTTTATTAGACAGATAATCTCCGAAAGTACTAGACCGATTGTTGTGAAATTTTGTACTTATATTAAGAATATCATGTAGATGGTAAAACGCTAACCAAAATTTATCTAATCATCCTCACCACTAATGCGATGACGTCACTTCAAAATTGTACATAGTAAATGGGTTTTCAATTGTATAAAATAACATAGTCCTACACATGTAGTTTACAACAACAATCGACTTTTCACCCGAAACGTCCAGCTTTTTGGAAAAAAAAATCAAAATTATAAAACAACATTTTGAAATTTAATTTTTAATCTGCTAACCAGAATGCTTTGGAATGTTGCAGATGTTTTAAGGCTATAAAGAGCATCATAAATCTTTAGTCAAAAAATATTTGCTTATCCCCTCCAAAAACTTGATGACGTCAGCTCAAAAGTTTGTGGAATAAATCATATCTAAAATGTACAAAATATGATGAGTCTGTACTTGTGATCTATCACTCCATTCATATTTTTTGGATTTGCATATACAGGGTGACTCAAAAAAATTAATGAATGCCTCAATTTATTTTATTGATTTAATCAGGAACTACAAAACGGAATGCTCTGACATCTTGCAGATGTTTTAAGGTTATAAAGGGCATAATAAATGTTTAGTCAAAATATATTTGCTTATCCCCTCCAAAAACTTGATGACGTCAGCTCGAAAATTTGCCAAATAAATCATATCTAAAATGTACAAAATATGATCAGTCTGTACTTGTGATCTATCACTCCATTCATATTTTTTGGATTTGCATATACAGGGTGATTCAAGAAAATAAATGAAAGCGTAAATTTATTTTACTGATTTACTCAGGAACTACAAAACCGAATGCTTCGAAATCTTGAAGACATTTTAAAATTATCATAAGCATGGTAAATTTTTGATCAAAACGTATTTGGTCGTCCCCCCTAAAAAAATTATGATGTCACCACAAAATTTTGCTGAAAAAATCCTATCTAAAATGTACAAAATATGGTGAGTCTCTTCTTGTGATTTATCATTCCATTCGAATTTTTTCGATTTGCATATACAGGGTGACTCAAAAAAATTAATGAATGCGTAAATTTATTTTATTGATTTAATCAGGAACTACAAAACCGAATGCTTTGAAATCTTGCAGATGTTTTAAGGTTATAAAGAGCATAATAAATTTTTAGTCAAAATATATTTGGTTATCTTCTACAAAAAACTGATGAGGTCAGCTCAAAAGTTTTCCGAATAAATCGTATCTACAATGTACAAAATATGATGAGTCTGTACTTGTGATTTATCATTCCATTCATATTTTTGGATTTGCATATGCAGGGTGACTCAAAAAAATTAATGAAGGCGTGAATTTATTTTATCGATTTAATCAGGAATTACAAAACCGAATGCTTTGAAATCTTGGGAATATTTTAAAGTTATTATAAGCATGGTAAACTTTTGTTCAAAATGTATTTGTTCATCCCTCCTAAAAAAACTGATGACGTCACCCTTAAATTTTGCTGAATAAATCCTATCTAAAATGCAAAAAATATGATGAGTTTGTACTTGTGATTTATCATTCCATTCATATTTTTTAGATTTTCTTAAGAGGTGGTTCAAAAAAATTAATGAAGTCAATTTATTTTATTGATTAAATTAAAGGCAACACTTATTATTAGTATTACACCCCAACCAACCCAATTTGGTAGACACAAAATTTGTTAAAGGAAAAACTCGGTTGAAACATAAGGGTAGCACGCTTATTTACATCGACTTTAACATTACAGACCTGCATTTGTTTTATGCGTTCACTTGGTTCCGCGAATGTGAAATAGACATGTTTATAATCAACCTAGTTGTGAATTTCACCGTCAAGAATTAAAATAAAACCCAATGTTTTATATAATAAGCGGAAGTCGAAGCAATAAAACCGATGGTCGTTTTGTTTACAGTTTCTCTGTTTGACTCTCACGTATGCTGTTACGCCTGTCATCTTAAATTAAGAATGTTTATACATACACGATTTTCAGTTGCCTCTGATACGTATTGTTTCGTTATTTTATTGATTATTACAAATCAATATTCAAAACGACCCAATTCATTTTCCCGAAAATTTGAGAATATAATAATTTTATTCTTAGTATTACACTACATCTATCCCAAATGATATATGTGTCGTTGCAAAAATGTTGATGACGTCATCGCAATTTTTTTTTAAATTCCCACTACAAAAATGTAATGAGAAAAAAAACACAATAGGCATGCAGTCGACAAGTTTCCGACAGCGAGGGAAGTACTGTCTAAACTCTTTAGACCAATTTTTTGTGTAGTTTTTGAACCATTCTTATTGTGTTTTTTGTCACCTTTTTTGGCCTCTTTTTAGTAATTTTTTGTAATTACTTTTTCCATCACTTTTTATGGATTTTTCGCATTTTTGTCCCCTTTTTTACACACTTTTTGTTATTTCTTCATTATCTTTTTTATTATCAATTATTATTATCATTATGATTTTATTATCAATCCTGTAGAAGTATTCGTGCGACAATAAACCATTGCTATTTTTATGACATTTTTTTGACTCCCTTTTGATCTTAGCATTTTTGTGACCTTTACTGCGTTTCTTTTGGGTGTCGTCTTTTTTTGTAGCAGTTTTTTGTTCTCATTTTTGCCCTTTTTTGTCCTTTTTTTATCGTCTTTTTTGTCACTTTTGTAGTCGTCTTTTTTGTTGAATTTTTTGTCCTTTATTTTTATCGCGTTTTGTAGTGTTTTTATGCGATATTTTTGGCCCTTTTTTTGTACCCTTTTGGTTTCTTTTTTGTCGGATTGTTTTGTGATTCTTTTGGGTTACCTTTCTTGTCCCCCTTCTTTCACTCGTGTTTTTGGCCCTGTTTTATAGTCACTTTTTTCGTAAGCTTTGTCGCATTTTTATAAATTTGTTTTATCTTGTGTTTGCGCACTTTTTGATAGCTTTTTTGTATATGTTGTGTCTCATTTTCTACTTTAGTAACATTTTTTTGTTGCTTGTGTAGGAATTTTAGTCCCTTTTTTGACTGCCTTCTTTTAGTAGCATGTTTTATAAAGTTATTGGTCTTCTTCTTGGGTTACTTTTTATCGTGGCCTTTCTTTCCGATTTTGTTATGAATTCTTGTTTCTTTTCTTTTAGGGACGCCTTGTCCATTTTTCGTGGAGCTTTTGTAGCAGTTTGCATTGTTTTATGATTTTATTTGTTTTCACATCTCGTCGCATTGTCTTACTGAGTTTTTGTCATTTTTTTCCTTTTTTTTTCTTATCACTTCTTATAGGCATATATAATGTATCTTTTTGCCATTTTTGTATTCACTTTTTTTGTTGAGTTTTTTGTTTTCTTTTTTATCGTTAATTTTTTTTTTGTTTTCTGTTTCTGTACTTTTTTGAGTCCCATCTTTTCGTCTTTTTGTCTTCTTTTTATAGTCACTTTTTGTAGTCTTCTTTTTCTCACTTGTTGTTTTTGACCCTTTTTGTTTTTTGTCGCGTTTTTTAGCGCTTTTTGATCGTATTTTTGTTCATTTTTTCCAGACGCCTTTTTTGTCACTTTTTGTAGCAACATTTTTTGGTGAATTTGTTTGTCCCTTTTTTTGATGGCGATTTTTTTCCTTTTTTTGGAGCGCATTTTTTTATGTTTTTTTGCCCTCTTTTTTAACCTTTTTTTGGCAGTCGTGGCGTTTTTTGTGACATTTTTCGTTTTTTGTTGTTTTTTTTTTGGCACGTGTTGTAGTCGCCTTTTTGTGTTGACTGTTTCGGTAGCGTTTCTTTCCTTCTTTTATTGAACTTTTTTCTCTTCTGTTCATGTAGCCTTTTGTGTGAACTTTTTGATTCTTCTTCCATTGTATTTTTCTGTAGCATTTTTTATGGCCTTTTTGGATTTTCCTTTGTTAGTCTCATTTTTGTGACCTTTCTTGTAACTTATACTCCAAGAAGCTTGCCAATTTTTGTGGTCACATTTTTTTTTTGGTCACTTCTTAAGTCGCCTTTTTTCACATTTTTGTAGAAGGTTTTGACGTGTTTTTTGTCTTGTTTTTTGGCGGCGGTTTGCAAATATTAAATTCGTAAAATCAAATTTTATAATTTATCTCAGACTAGATTTGGATGTACTTCAAGGGAGTGGGAAGTTCTGTCCAAAAAACTAAAGACTAATTTTTATTTTTTTGGACATCGTTATTTTATACTCCTAAATTTTATTTACTTCTTTGCAATCAACTATTTAAATACTATACAACAGAGTGTATTTCTTCTGCTCTGTTTTTTGCCAGGAAGTCTAAAAAATATTTGGGCATTCGTAACGAAAAGTTTTAAGTTTTAACATTTAACATTTTTGGATAACTTTTGACGTCTAATATAAAAATATAGTCATTCCTCAAAATGAAACAGGATTAAATAAAATTAATCAAATATTCAAATCAGCATCACTTGAATTCCTGAGCAAATTAAATTTTTCTTCAAGTAGCGCCATACAACAATCATAATCTCATGGATTATTAATGCTGCGTCAACAGTATTTCACATTGTATTAAATGCATTACGGTTGTAACTTGTCGTTAATGAAGCAATTTCAATAAAATGCGCTGCAATATGTTTATTTTTAAACAAAATTGAAAATTGTGCAACTGTGTCAAAAATTCATTAATCCGATCTGACCTGACCTGATCTTTTCAGGCTACCGCAACGAGTCCGGCCCTTGCAACGGCGACAGCGGCAGCGGCTTCATAATGAAGTCCAACGAGAAATGGTTCCTCAAAGGCATCGTTTCGACCTCGAAGTACGACTCCGTCAAGCAATCTTGTGATTTAACCAACTACGTAGTTTTTACCGACATAAGCAAGTTCAGGACGTGGCTGTTATCCATCATTGTTATTTAATAAACATATTATTTATTTTCATATTTTGTGGTCTGATTTTTCCTAAAGGTTGAAATACCTCTGAACTAGTTAGTTGCATATTTATGAGCTGGCTAGATAATGAACAAACCGATTTTTTGCTGGAACTTATACGTATTATAATAAAAGACCGGACGAAAGGTCGCCGGTGTTGCAGTAACCGTAATTTTTATTTAATTGTTAATTAATAATAGTTGGAAGGATTTTGTAGCCTTGGAATGGACATCTGGGTAATAAAAGAGTAATTATAATCTTGTTACCGACTGCTCTGCGAAAAAAGTGGCTTGAAGTAGGTAATAATTTTTTATTGGTTTTGGATTTATGTAAGAATTCTAAGTGAGATGGAAGCGGTACGGACTGAGAAACATTGACCGTTCCTATTCTGTCTGCATGCAAATGTAATTTTTTTCAATAGATTTTAAAATAAATGTGTTCATTATTATTTATTTATCATAATTTTGTCGTTAGTATTTATTAGTTGCAATTTCAACTGCTCATATGCAAACCACTTAAATAAATCACTAGTCTGGAAAACAGAAATTAAACAAATAATCTTGTTTTTCTGTAATATAATGGGGGTTCCCGTAAATAAAGTATTATTATTATTATTATTATTAATATAAATAATTTGTTCTAGGTTGTTTTGTATTTCAGTTTTTCGATTTACAATTTTTAGAGTTTTCAAATTAAAATTTTTCGATTTTTCGTTTCGGTTTTTATTTTCATTCATTTGTCAATTTTACGATTTTTCAATTTTTAGATTTTGTAGTTTTTCGTTTTGAAATTTCTCAAGTTTTCAATTGTTCGTTTTTCAGTTTTTCAGTATTTTAATTTTTCATTTCTTCAAAATTTCGACTTTTTCGTTTCGGTTTTTTATTTCCTTCATTTTTACAATTTTTTTATTTTCCAGTGTTTCAATTTTACCATTTTAATTTTTTCAATTTCAATTTTTCGATTTTTTTCAAATTTTCGCTTCTTCAATTTTTTTCATTCGCGATTTTTCAATTTTTATTTTCTCCATATTACATCACGATTTTTTGTTTTTCATTTCCTTTATTTTTTCAATAGTTGTTTCGATTTTATAATTTCTCGTTTATTCAATTTAAATTTTCAATCTATGATTTTTCAATTTCTCGATTTTCCAATTTTTAATTTTTCAATTTTGCAATTTTTGGATTCCTGAATATCCAATTTTCCGATTTCTTTCATTTTCAGTATTTCAATTTTACAAAATATTTCTTTTTCTCGATTTTCAAGTTACTCAATTTTTAATCTTTAGATTTTTCCGTTTTTCAAAATTTCGGTTTCATAATTTTTCATTTTCGCAACTTTAATTTTTCAATTTTTTAAATTCTCGACTTCCAAATTTTTCAATTTTTTGTTCCTTCAACTTTTTGATTTGCAATTTTTTAATTGTGCAATTTTTCGATATTACAATTTTTCGTTTTTCGATTTTTCCGTTTCTCAATTTTTAATTTTTTATTTTTCTTTCTCGGTTTCTCAATTTTTCACCTTCTTGATTTTTTATTTTTCATTTTCTCGATTTTTAATTGTCATTTTGTCGATTTTATATCATAATTTTTCGTTTTTCCTTTTCCTTTTTTTTTAATGTTTTTTTCGGTTTTATAATTTTTCGTTTATTCAATTCTTCAAATTTTCAGTCTTTGAATTTTCAATTCATCGATTTTCCGATTTCTTTAATTTTCTGTATTTTTCGATTTTTCAATTGTACGTTTTCAAGTTCTGGATTTCCAATTTTACAATTTTGCGATTATTCCATTTTTTGATTCGAGATGTTGAAAAATCGAAAAATACAAAACAAACCAAAAAATGTGAAAAAATAAAACTAAAAAAACGCAAAAAGTCGAAAAAGTGGAAAATCGTAAAACTGCAAATCGAAGAACTGAAGAAACGAGAAATCGAAATATTGAAAAACAAAAAATTGAAAAACTTGAAAATGCCAAAAATTAATGAATCGAAGAATTGGAATGAAGAAAAAAGGACTCTAATCGAAAAATTGGAAAAACCAAAAATTGAAAGACCGAAAATTCTACAATCATAAAATTGAAAAAATAAAGAATTTTTTAAATTATAGATATTAGGTACATATTTAAAATGAAAACTAGAAAATTTGCAAATCAAAAATTGAAGAAACGAAAAACTGAAAAACGAAAAATTAAACAATATGAAAGTTGAAAAATCGAAAATTGAAAACAGAAAAATTGAAAAATACACAAAATGGAAAACTTCACATTGAACAAAGAGAAAAAATATAAATCAGAACATTGAGAAATCGAAAAATTGAAAAATATGGAAGATACAAACCGAAACGAAAAATTGCAAAATCTAAAAATTGAAAAAATAAAAAATTAAAAAAAATCGAGACATTCAAAAATCGAATAATTTATAAATGAAAGGGGAAAAAACCCAAACGAAAAATTGAAAAATTGTAAAAACAAAGAAAATAAGAACCGAAAGGAAAAAATCGAAAATTTGAAGAAATGAATAACTGGAAACCCGAGAAATTTTAAAACGAAAAATTGCAAAATTTAAACATTGAATAAACTAAAAAAAAATGAAAATTGAAAAATCGCGAATAAAAAAATTGAAGAAGCGAAAATTTGAAAAAATTAAAATTGAAAGAACGAAATATTAATAAAAAGTCGGGACACTCAAAAATCGAATAATTGATAAATTAAAGAAAATCAACAACAGAAACGAAAAATAATTACAAATCGAAAAGCTGAAGAAAGAAAACGTTAGAAAGGTCTAAAAGCAAAAATACAAATCAAGAAAGTAAAAATCGAGGAACCGAGAAAGGAAAATCGAAAAATTAAGAATTGAGAAATGGAAAAATCAAAAAACGAAAAATTGTAATATCGAAATATTGCACAATCAAAAAATTGTAAATCAAAAAGTTGAAGGAACAAAAACTTGAAAAAATTAAAGTTCGCAAATTAAAGTAGGAAACCTTGAGTAACTTGAAAATCGAAAAAAGAAATATTTTGTAAAACTGAAATACCGACAATAAAAGAAATCGGAAAATTGGATAATTGAGAAACCCAAAACTTGCAAAATTGAAAAATTTTAAAATTGGAAAATCGAGAAATTCCAAAATCAAAGATTGAAAATTTGAAACGAAAAATCGGAAAAAACCTTGAAAAAAATCAAGGAAATGCTAGAACGAAAAATTGTGATATAAAATCGAGAAAATTAAGATTAAAAAGTCTGGAAAATGAAAAATAAAAACAAGAAAGTGAAAAATTGAGGAACTTAAAAATCGAAAAAACGAAATATATATTGCAAAATCGAAATACTTTAAATTCAAGAAATTGGAAAATCGGATAATTGAGAAATCTAAAAATTACAAAATTGAAAAATTTTGAAAACTGAAAAATCGAGGAATTGAAAAATCAAAGATTGAAAATTTGAAGATTTGAATAAAGGAAAAATTATAAAATCGAAAAAACATTAGAAAAATAAAGGAAATGAAAAAAGGAAAAACTGTGATAGAAAATCGAGAAAATAAAAATTAAAAAATTGCAAATCAAAAATTGAAAAAACGAAATTTTTTTTTCAATTTTTGGATGTGCAATTTTTCGTTTCGGTTTTTTATTTTCTTTAATTCATCAATTATTGGATTTCTGAATGTCCCGATTTTTTTAAATTTTTTGTTGTTTCAATCTTAATTGTTTTTTGTTTGTTTAAAACTTCTGGAGTTTTCAATTTTACATTTTTTCTGATTTTTCAATTTTACAATATGCAATTCTTGGAGTTTTCATTTTTATTTAAATGTTTCAATTTTTAGATTTTTCAATTTTTCATTTCTTCAATTTTCGAATTTGTTAATTTTTAATTTCGGTTTTTTATTTTCTTTTTTTTCAGTTTTTCGGTTTTTCAATTTGTAGATATTGATGTTTTCCATTTTTTTATAATTCTTCTATTTATTCAATGTGAAGTTTTTCAAATGTAGTGTTTTTAAATTTTTCGGTTTTCAATTTTTCGATTTTTCAGATTTTAGACTTTTTAATTTTTCGTTTTTTCAATTTTAAATTTTTCAGTTCCTCGATTTTAGTTTTTCGTTTATTCGATTTCTGGTGTGTATTTTTCTAGTTTTCATATGTTTTCAATATGTATAATTTTTAAAATGTTTCACTCTTTCAACTAAAATCGTAAATTTATAATTTTTCAGTTTTTCCACTTTACGATTTTGACGATTCTATAATTTTTCGATTTTACAATTTTTGGGTTTTCCAATTTTTCGATTCGATTCGTTTTTTCCTATTTCTTTTCTATTTAGTTTTTTAATATTACAATGTTTCCATTTTCCACATTTCCGATTTTTCAACTTTTCGAACCAAAAACATGTGAAAAAATTGCAAAACTGTAAAATTGAAAAATCAAAATTAAAAAAAAATATATAAAATGAACTTTGAAAAATCTAAAAAGTGGAAATCAAGAAATTTTAAAATTGCAAAACTTAAAAATCGAAAAAACGAAATATATTTTGTAAAATCGAAATACTGAAAATTAAAGAACTCGGGAATTGAAAATTTTGAAAGCTGGAAAATCGAGGAATGAGAAAATCAAAAATTGAAAATTTGAAGAATTGAAAAATGAAAAATTATGATACAAAATCGGGAAAATGAAAAATAAAAATCGAGAAAGTGAAAAATTGATTAACCGAAAATTGTAATATATCGCAAAATTGCAAAATTGAAAAATTGCAAATAAAAAAATTGAAGAACCAAGAAACTGAAAATCGAGAAATTAAAAAATTGAAAAAAATTAAAGAAAACGAAAAAACCAAAAATTGTGATATAAAAAAAAGAACGTCTGTAAAAACGAAAATAAGACAATACGAACTCGTATAGAGTTTCGCGTTTAGTATAGAACAAATTTATTTAAGCAGAGTTGACATTACAAAAAACAAGCTTCTTGAAGTTCAGTAAAAACCCGTTTTAATTTAAATCTAAATAAACTGTTAATTGATATTGTATTCG